AATCAAGCTTTCCAGTCTACACCATTGCCATCTCGGTGTAAGTAAACAGTCTTTTAAACTACCGATACGCGTCCGTGCCTAATTCCAGAGCGAAGGCCTTCCCTCTCCGCCCCCGCGTGCCCGGGCTGCTGGCCACAGCCCGCGTGCAGCGCAAAAAAGGGCTTGGGGCGCTCCCGGCCCGCACATATTCATGCAATGAATCAGCAGCAAAAATAAACAGCAGAACTCAGGAGTTTCTGGATCCCACTTTTATGCTCTGTCGGTTCGACACTGGTTAAGTACAGACAGTCAAAAAGCCTGAGGCTGAATCGATTCAATCTTCGCAGGTTAATCTAAGGTGCGTAGATTGAACCAATAAGCAAGTGAGCAGACATTCACTTTTGATTCAAGAAATGCAGCCACATTTCTGCAGTGGCTCTGGCCAGAAGCTGGGGGTGCTAGAGCTTGGGCCAAGGTTAACCTGCCCACCCTGTGAGAGGGGAGGCTTGTGGGGGAGATACAAAACATCTTGGGATGCTGGGGAACTGAGAGTTAACTTGAATCTGGAGGGGAACTTGAAAAGAAGTTAAAAAAATGATTTAACCTAAATCAGTTAAGTTTGATACTACATCCATCCAGGTTTATCGCAAATCAGTTTCAGCCATTTTGAAAGTGGTTTGAACCACTTTCCAATCACATATACTGGTTTATTTGTAATTTCTGTCCCTAACCCCTGTAGCCTCTAGCATTGCAGAAAGCAAAGAGTGGCAACCGGTTAATTTCTCTTGCATAGCAAGTAATTTCTTGAAACTTGGATTAGAGAAATTAAGATGTTAATTCAGGTTGGAAAAAGTGTTCTCTCTGATGAAAGAATTAAATTTACATTTTAAGCTCTTGAATTATCAGCAAGAAGAGTAAGGTAAGGTGATCTGAGACTGGAAGATTGCCATGGTTTAACATTAATTCAACTAGTTCAACTTTTCTAGTGTAAATAATTTATGGTAATTAAAGGACAGACTGTCAGATTTGAGGGAGATATATAAATGCAATTAAAAATAAATCAATCAAGGATTCCTGAAAGGTACTATTTCAGTAGCAATTCTATCATCAGGACTTTCTAACTTAAACTGGCATTTCTCACTAGAACATTAAATTCTAGTTTATACAAGAACACAGGAGTGGAAAGTTCCTCCTAAGTCAGTCCCTATATTTACAGGTATTTCTACAACAGCAACAGAGATTCTGTTTGACATGGATACTAATACTTGTAAATTCTTTGTGCTCACCACAGATTTTAGGATTATAAAGGATTTTAAGAGGGTATTTTTGCTAGGGATTTCAAGTTCTACAAAAAGGTGGTCAGTGAACATATTTTCCAATTAAGCTGCTATAGTTTTCTTCTTTGGTGCACAGCTCGATGAGAAGCAGTTGGCAAAAATCTTTGAAGGTGTGTTCTATTTCTAAATTTTCTTAATGTTCAGGTAGAATTCAGCTCAAAAGTTCTTGCTTAGAAGACTTTGTTCTGATCTGTGAAATTTAAAGGTTTCAGATCAAGGACCCATACTAGAGAAGGATCCGAGCTAGAGGACTTGATCAGGATCCCAATTTCCATTCAATCTAGGGAAGTTCAGACCCTTTTCTAGCTGTAGACCTATGAGATTTTGCCAGGTCATGAAAGGTCTTCTTTTCCAGCTGATTAGATTTTATGGCATCTGCTACTAGTTTGTCTCTAGCGATATCAGCAATTTATTTTGTTTCCACCTCACTGATCACAGAACTGCAGCATTTAGTCTTCTTGTAGAAACTGTACACTTCAGAGCATAGACAATTTCTTGTGGTCTCTTTTCTGATATCTGTGTGGGTCTTTCTGCCAGCAATAAGGAAGTGAAAAATGTAAGAAAATGTAATTGTAACAGCCATAAAACTTGACAGGAGGCTCAGAGGCAGGTGTAATATCTCTTTTTTTGAATTTGACTACAGTTCCCGATAATAAGGTGACTATTTTCAAAACAGAAACCTGAGAGACATGTGTAGCCATATTTCAAAGGCACAAAATGCTCAAATGCTCCATATTTGAATTACACCAGCTGAGGAGCAGAAAAGATCAAAGATATGTCTCATCCCCCTGTACCCATCACAGGAGGCAAAAAAGAGTGAGGGAGGGGGAAGCACTTCAGAAGTGCTGGCTTTGAAAAACAAATGGAATGAGGCAAGGGTTTGTTATACAACGAGAACGAAATCAGGCTGTAAAACAATACACAAATGGTGTAACAATATGCAATTTATACTTTCAGCTAAATTTTAATATTTAATATAAAAGAAAAGAGAAACTGGGATGTTTCTGGCATTCTAAAATTAGAGTCTGGACACTGGAATATCAACTAAAAACCTGGAATCATCAGGAATGCTCCATGCCACTTGTTTTACTTGACAATATACTTTCTGGATATAGAGCACTGCCTGCTGGGTAAGCAAATCGAACGCATCTTCAGAGAGTAATGAACACAGATTGCATTTGTGTCATACATGGATAGGAAAGAAGTTCCACCTGCAGGCAGTCTGGAAAAGATGATGCTATGGATTGGGGTAGGCAAAATACAGCCCAGGAGCCACATCTGGCCCATAGCAGGTCCCTCAGCCCTGCCCAGCCCAGCCCAAGCATAGGGTGCTGGTCCAACTGCCCCTGGGCATGGAGGTGCTGCCTAGTGCAGAGCACAGCCCACCCTATCCCTGCACACAGCTCTCAGGCATACTGGGAGCTGTAGTCCATGGGGAGTGATATGGCAGCTGGACTTGGCTTCCTGGCATTGCTCATGGCAGCAGCTTGCTCTGCCCTCACACTTCTGGCTACTGCTGCCAGTGTCTCCATTGCTGCCAATGGACCTGGCCCCATGCCTGTCTGCCCACACCCACCACCAGGAGACTCTGGACAGAGCAGGTGGGTGGGATCTCCATGGATCAATGCAGGCGGGTGGGGCCAGCACAAGGCTGGGGTCACAAGGCAGAGCTGCAATCTGCTCTCCACATGTCCCTGAGATGGGCCCCTGCCCACGGAGCCAGTGCCTGTTGCAGACACACGTGGGAGTGAATCAACTCTGCCCAGGGGTCCCAGCCCCATGTTGTCACCACTCTACAATCCCAGCCCCAGTTGACATCCTGCTCTTGGATGCCACACCCCACCCACCCAGCTAAGAGCACCGTGCCTCTGGGTGTCCCAAGCCCGTCTCCATGGAGACCCCACCCAACCACTCTGTCCAGCACCCCCAGCAGTGGGTGCAGCGCAGATGGGCCAGGGGCTGGATAGAATCAATTGGCATTGCCCTGCCTCCTTCACCCTCTGGAGGTGGGGCAAACAGCCATGACAGGGGGCCAAGGCCAGATCAGCAACACTTCCCTGCCCACCAGCCCTCAACAGCTCACCAAAATTCCTTAACTGGCCCTCCAACACAAATTGCCTGCTCCTGCTATGGATGGAGTTATACCCAGCACCATTCCTAGTAAAGAGAAGTCAATCAACATAACAGGCTCGAGGCTTGAGAATAGTTCTGATATACCTGCAAATGTGGAAAGACCCTACGAGGTCCTGGGCACAAGATACCCAGTGCAACAGACTATGCTGGTGTAGAAAAGGAGCAAACCCCTATAACAGAGCAACTTCATACAATCTGGTGCAGAGTTACCCATCAACAAACTGGGGATAAAACTACACTGGTATAAGTTATATAAGGTAAAACTACACACAGATTATACCACTGGTATAGATTATACACTATGCACTTTTACATTGGTTTAAAAAAACTAATGCAACCTGAACCATTGTAAACACCCCGGGCATGAGCCATAAAATGAAGAAAAAGAAGAAGTTTGATTGGAAAATATTTTTGAGCTGGCAGAAGAAATCTCCAATCACAAATGAAGCAATTTCTAGTGTCAGATGGCAAACTTGATGCTAAATGTTATTGAAGCCAACTTTAGAATTGCTAAATGAAAATTTTACAGAATTGCCACTTAACCTTGTTTACATGAATAAATGTTATCGTAATTTGGTTCAAATTGATTAATCAATGCCTCAAACTATGGACAACACATAATGGATCATATCAACTTTCTCTCATTTAACTTTAATACAACTGGCAATACACTAAATAAATAAAACTGACTTGTCAGTTAGCCCATTGAGAAACAATACTCCAAGGAAAACGAACATTTCTTTTAAAAATGTGTGAAAATAAGCTATATAAGCATGCATGGATTTGAATTTTAAAAATTACAAAATCCACCATTTTTCTAATAAGATATTGCTTTCCAAATACGTGCTAATAAGGCACTCTCATGGATTTTCTAAAGGTAAATGTTCTTAAATATTTTTTCATAACAAAGCAGTTGTGCATAATATATCTTTTCCATTTCTAAATGGTAAAAATACTAAATTATGGATTATGAAAAAGTATACCACTGACTCTATTCTTCTTTCCAAGAGGATTGGGATCTATAATTTTTCCATTAAGCATTTATACACTTAAAACAACAGGCCAACTACAACCAATCTATATTATTCTGGGATATCAAGTAACATAAATAGCAGTTAATCTACACCAGTCTAGAGAGATCTTTACTTGGCTCAAAGCAGAAGTACATTTTGGACATGTATTTCCCCCTTCCCCCCTCCCCTCTCCCTGCCTTTACGTACTTTCACAGTGCTAGCTCCATAAGCCTGTGGCGTGACTGGGCCCCTCAAGTGCTACCACAACAAAAATAAATAATATATCCCACTTACTTCATCTAAAAGAGGATTACTTTCTGCCAAGGGATTAAAGGGTATAAACAATAGAAGTGCTGGTCCTTTCTTTAGTTCATTGTTTAGTAGAAGGCTTTTTCCTCCATGTGGTCTCAGCCAGCGTATGAGCATCTCTCGATTTTCTAGGGCCCATTTGCAAATGTTTTCAGCTGTATAATTCATGACTTCACTGGGATAGATCTTGAAAGGAAATAAAAATCATTATTTGTCATCCTCATTTACTAGATGCACTGCTTACTAAAATATGATACATAATAATATCTGTCATAAGTTGTACAAATTACATTAGCAAATGTTACAGTACTGATATTACTAATATTTGCTACTGGTATTATTTAAAGAGCATTGTCAAACGTCATCACGTCATGTAATTTCCTTTGTAGATCTCCCTACTTCTCACCAGTAACTGATGCAATCATGACTCCTCATCCCTAAATTTTTTAAATAACCTCTGCCCCCTGCCACCACAAAATACTTCCCTCAGTGTTTCCAGTTCTCATTTATGACTTACTTTGTGTTTGTCAAAAGCAGATCTAAAGTGACTCAGTTCGTTTCTTCTTATTGTTCCCTACTTCATTTGTTTTCCACTTCTGTATCTAGCAGTTCTGATTGCATTTCAAATTATAATATAATACTCACAAGTGAATTGTTGACATGCCTATGCAGGTACACGGTGCCTGAATGCATCAATGAGACCTCTTTTGCAATCTGTTTATCCGTGATCACTCCAAAGCGTATTGTTCCAAGGTAATCTGAAAGAGCAATTTTTCTGTTTTAATAAAAAAAGACCTGAAATCCTAGTCTTTGCTGTAATCTTTGGAAGAACAAAGAATGACAACGTCTTACTTTTGGGATGTTTAAGATTAGCAAAGGATATACAAATAACATCTCTTGGCGAGAAAGGGTGTATATCCGCACATTAATTAGCGTACTGAACAGAGCCCTGCATACGAGTACAAAATTCCTACTAAAATAACAACTGCTGTCAACCAAGACAGATTTTTAGAGAAAGCAAGGGAAAAGAAACTACGTAGCCAGTGTCAACTAACTCGCTTCTGAACCCAGAATCTCATCACAATATATCACCTAAAACACTGGGGTCAGACCAGTAAGGGACATGAAAGATAAGGATATGGTATCTTTCTTTAAATAATGTTTTATACTAGGAACTGCTACTTAACAATTAGATGGCGCTTTTCATTTATAGAAATATCATTATCTCTAGCAAACAGGTAAAGAAACTGAGGAACAAAGCAGAAGTGCAACTAATCTAATGTAATACACCAGGACAGTGACAAAGTTAAATACTATATTAATTTATTGTATTTGGTTATAAAATTACACAGTTATTCACAATCAATTTACAGATCTTACATTTAAGTAATCTTTCCACATATTCAGGGAATATTTCAGAGAAAAATCTTTTAGAATAAAAGTCACATTCTGACAATGCTACAAATCTGAATAATCAAACCAAAATGTCATCAGTCTGTGAAATGTAGTGATATGGTACCACTGGGATACAAAGGTAATAAAGTACTCTACTCTGCTCCCACAGCATCCTTTACTCAGAAAGTATTTATCCCATCCTAAGTCTGAAATGTTGAATATAAGGATTTATACAGAGAATAAAGTGATCAGAGGACTATTTAAATTTAACTGCACCATTCTAAAACTAACAGAGATAACTGCTTAACATTTATATTCCAGTCATATACTTTCTATCCACCAGATTGCACTGGAAAGTACAACTTTTTATGCAGACATGCAACATACACTACTGACTTACACCAGTGCAGTTTTACCCGATTCCTTCAGAGGTCATTCTAAACCAGACTCAGTGAAGTTAACCTGATGTGGGAATTCACATCTGCTGTCAACACCTTTAGTTTACACAGCTGTAAACACCTTGTGTGTCCAGATGCTTGGTTTAGATTTCATTCGACAGTTTTCCAGAACTGGCATCTCTTCCACTGCTTTCAAAATAAAAACTGGGATAAAACAGGGAATTGCAATCCTGACTTTAAATCTGCTCCCCATTTCACTACCCACAGAAGAAGTGTGTTCATGCCTGTAAATGAAAAAGCCTGCTCATGAAATGGCTGAGAAAGGAAGAGAGAAAAAGAGGGGGAGCCATATTGTACCATCAGTTTTTGAACAATAGTTTTCAATCAAATCGATGCAGAGTTCTGTTTAAAATGGATGCTATGGCATTAATTGTTATTCTCCAGGACTTTACTGTCACTTTCTACAAAACATTTGGAATTACCGTGGTACTTTACCAGCTTTGTTGTGAGAAGCAGACACAGAATCATAGAAAATAAGTGTTGGAAGAGACCTCAGGAGGTCATCTAGTCCACACCCCTGCTCAAAGCAGGACCATCCCCAACAAGATCATTTCAGCCAGCAAGATAAAGATCCAAACGCCTTTTAAATAAGTCCAGAGTAGGTGCTTGCACCACCTCTGGTGGGGGGGTCTGTTCCAGACCCTGGACACTCGAACTGCGAAAAAGTTTTTCCTTATGTTCAATCTAAAAATCGGCCTTCTAGGAGTTTGTGGCCATTAGTACTGGTCTGAGAACTGAGCCCTGAGGGACTCCACTGGTCACCCTGCACCACGTTGATTCTCTCCCATCAACTAGTACTCCTTGAGTCCGACCCCAGAGCCAATTCCCCAGCCATCAGACCATGAGAGGGTCAAGGCTACAGTTCCCTAGCTTAACCATGAGGACATCACTGGAAACCAAGTCAAAGGCTTTCTTGAAATCCAGGTATATAACATCAGCCTCGTCTCCCTTATCGAGGCAATGCATCACCTGGTCATAAAAGGTGATGAGGTTGGTCAGGCAAGACCTTCCAGTGACAAACCCATATTGGCTGGCATTCAGAAGGTTGCCTTCCATTAGCTTGTTGCTGATGGATCCCGTGATGATTTTCTCCAGGATCTTTCCAGGGATGGACATCAGGCTGATTGGCCTGTTGTTCCCTGGATCTTCCTTCTTTGAAGATTGGGACCATGCTTTATTGCAAAGTGAAGTGTCCAAATTCATGCGTGACATGCCTGAAGCGGAAGAGTTTGAGGGCATCATCAGAGCCAGCTCCTGCAAGCTGGTTGCTGCAGCTTTTCAGGAGTTGCCATCTTGGCCTGACCCAACAGGAAATTGGCCAGGCAGACCACGCACCCCTTGGCTACTCAGTACAGGATAGAGAAGATGTACACAGTCTCAGAGACGTGCAAGTCCTATGTGCCAAAGAGGATGCTGAGGGCAGCAAAAAGGAGCTGCAGCCGGGGGAAGTCCAGAGGCATGGAAGAGTCTCCTCCACCACCTCCTTGCAGAAAGGGCAGGCTGTTCATGCCAACATGTCTAAGTGGCAAACAAAAGTGCCCGTGGCCATGCAACAGCAGTCACTGGAGGTTGGCAGTTCTCTTGGCAATGGGTAGCTTGCACAGGGTGTGCCAGACCAGATGAGCTTGGTTTTGCTGTTGCTAGGCACTGCCTCCAAGTTGTGTCAGGGCAGGTGGCAAGGGCATAGACATGATGCACACTGACTGTCTGAGTGTACAGTCCCAGCCAGGATCTCATGGTAGATCCCACCACTGGTCTTGTTAGACATAGGGAGAGAGAGCAGAGTGCTGGGCCAGTCATTCTTGTTCTCCTCAGCCAAAGAAACAGGTAGCAATAGAGGGGGTCTGTCTAGTGAGCTGCTGCTAGGGAGGGCTTGTAGTGTGCAGAGGTGGTCTTCTAGCGCAGTAAACGCATCTGCAGGGAGGGAAGCTTTCACTTCAGCCAAGAGGCATGAAGCAAAACAGACAAAGTTGCAGGCCCAGCCAGCCAGCCAGGACTTTAGCTGAGAGCCAGGCAGACCAAGCTGAGTTAAGTGGGGGGTGTCACCTTGACAGTATATGACCAGATCAAGGAAGCAATGAGGCTTCTGGAAGCTTGGCTCAGTACCCTCTGCTGCAAGGCCAGGTTATGGACTAGGGGCTCCTGTAGCAGTTCTGGAAATATAGGACCACATACTTTTTGTACTTCAACCTTTTAATATATATTTTTTATAATACAGGTTTAAACCCAAAATCCTTCTCCCTCTCCCCTCCTTCCTTTTCATCTCTCTTCCCCTCTCCCTCTCTCAATGGCTGGCCATTTGAGGGGAAGAGGGACAGAAGGATTCATCACTTAGTCAAGACTTGGCAGATTATCACCAGGATAGGAAAAGGACAACCAAACCACCAGGCCAGTTTTTAAGAACCTGTTCCACAGCATACAAACACTCAAGCTTCTCAGCTAAAACACTTTGTAAGAATTCTTTGAACACAGCTAAAACAGGTGCAGTGATACCAGATCAGAACCATGGACCTAGCCCGTTGCAATCAAGAGATGAGGGAAAGGTATCCCCAGAACATGTGCTAGCTGCAATAAGCCCCAAGTGACACCCTGGTCCCAGCTGGGCTGAATGAGGCAGTCAATCCCCTGAAGCCAGAGACAGCAGGCCTCACCCTCTCCAGTCATTAAAAGCAAGACCCAAACCACAGTCTTCTTGTCCAGGCAAAGGCAAAAGTTTTTGCTCCAGACCTTCTGTGTGCTTCCTTGCTGATCTGGTTTTGACTCTTGACTCTGACTCTGATAAGACCATGGGCATTCCCTGATTCTGGTTTGACTTTCAGCTCAACTGGGATCAGAAGGCAAATGGTAAACCCTCAGCTTACCTTGTCTCTGCCTTCAGCTCTGACCCCAGCTTGTCCGGACTTTGGTTACAGCTTCCAAATCCAGACCCCTCTGGACTCCAACTCCCTGGGCAGCTCACCTGGACTACACCTGCACTTCAGTAACTAACCTAGACTAGACCACCAATGCCCCAGTGCATAATAACAACTTTTTTCCCCACCTCAATCTTGTTACTAGAAATAGTGAAACACCTAGCATGAAAAACAAAATCAAATTGCCCTTTGCACTTCCTCTCACTTCCAGCTTTCATATTATTGAAATCTGTTGTACATATATTTCCATCAAATGCAATCTGGTAGAACATGAAAACTAAAAAAGTGTAGCCAAAATTCCCCTTATACATGCGTCTTAGAGAAGATCAGAAAAATACCACAATCTGACTCATTTCAAGCAGCTCAAGGTATTAACTCTTGTACACCGGAGATCTAATTTTAAATTCAATTTCCTAGCCAAAGAAATCTACAAAAACTCACAAGAATTTAAAGAAAAGGTTGGGCCAAAAAGTCGAAGCAATTGTATCCAAGACAAAGAAGTGGCAAGTTTACCTTGTTATTTTAAAGCACTCTGTCAAGGGCTTTCCTTCAGAAAGAAAGTGAAGATAATTTGAGCCGACAGACTAATCTAAGGAAAATGTTAAATACTGGCTTAGAGTTATTTAAAGTCTCGTAAAAGAGGAGGATTTTTTTTCAAGTTAATAAAGATTCGGAATCTCTAACTTAACTTTATTGAAAGGACCCAAAAAGTAATATAAAACAAAACAAGAGAGAGGATCCAGAGTACTCTTGTAACTACATGGCATCCTTTCCGGTGCCCACCTTGATATCCATTCTTAAAATTCCTGAATATAATACATCAGTACAGATATCCTAGTTCCAAACTCCTCTGAAGACCTTTAGGCCCTTTTATCAAACAGTCACCAAGGCCCTTCCCCATTGGGATCCTTTCTGCGTTCATTTTCCCAGCAGGTACTTCCTGGGGTCTCGAACTGGTAGCCATTCCTTTATTTTCCTCTGTAGCCCCAGCTT